TCACAAAAGAAGGCCAGGTGAAGAGGCATGCAAACTGGCCTGCTGATAGACGCCACAGGGGTGATTCTGATTGACTTTGCACTTTACAACCCAATGACCTGGGCACATCTCGCTGTTGGACAACAGTCAATCTTTCTGAAAAGTGGTAAGCATACCGGCTTAACAAAGCCAACTGTCTTTATGCGTGAGATCAGATTCCTAGTATTAGGATCACTTTATCCCACGCTCTTTTTTTTTAACCCCACATTCTAACGATTTCATAATATTTTATAGCCAACCTCACCCTCATGCTAAAAAATATAATGAATAGTAAGAATTGAGTCCAAATAGGCCAAAAAACCAGGCCTAAGGTAAAATAGATAAGACTAAGAGTTATTTTAAGAATTTTTTAAAGATTTTATTTATTTATTTGTCAGAGAGCACAAGCAGGGGGAGGGGCAGAGGGAGAGGGAGAAGCAGGCTCCCCACTGAGCAGGGAGCCCGATGTGGGACTCGATCCCAGGACCCTGGGGTCATGACCTGAGCCGAAGGCAGATGCTTCACCGACTGAGACACCCAGGTGTCCCTTAAGAATGTTTTTCTATTTCAAGATTGCTTTGGCTATTCGGGATCTTTTGTGGTTCCATAGAAAACTTAGGATTGTTTGTTCTAGCTCTGTGAGAAAAGCTGTTGGCATTTTGATAGGGATTGCATTAAATCTGTAGGTTGCTTTGGGTGGTAGAGACATTTTAACAATATTTGTTCTTCCAGTCCATGAGCATGGAATGTCTTTCCATTTCTTTGTATCCTCTTCAATTTCTTTCATCAGTGTTTTATAGTTTTCAGAGCATAGGTCTTTCACCTCTTTGGTTAAGTTTATCCCTGGGTATTTTATTATTTTTGGTGCAATTGTAAATGGGATTGTTTTCTTAATTTCTCTTTCTGCTGCTTCATTATTAGTGTATAGAAATGCCACAGATTTCTGTACATTGGTTCTGTATCCTGTGACATTAGTGAATTCATTTATCAGTTCTAGCATTTGGTGAAGTCTCTAGGGTTTTCTATATATAGAGTATCATGTCATCTGCAAATAGTGAAAGTTTTACTTCTTCCTTACCAATTTGGATGCGTTTTATTTCTTTTTGCTGTTTGATTTCTGTAGCTGGGACTTCCAGTACTATGTTGAATAAAAGTAGTGGACATCCTTGTCTTGTTCCTGACCTTAGGGGAAAAGCTCCCACAAAAGACCCCAAATAGCCAAAGTAATCTTGAAAAAGAAAAAAACTGGAGGTATCATAATTCCAGACTTCAAGTTCTATTACAAAGCTGTAGTCATCAAAATAGTATGGTACTGACACAAAAACAGGCACATAGATCAATGGAACAGAATAGAAAACGCAGAAATAAGCCCATAATTATATGGTCACTTAATCTTCGAGAAAGGAGAGAATATGCAATGGGGAAAAGATAATCTCTTCAACAAATGGTGTTGAATACAAACTGGTGAATACAAACAGCTACATGCAAAAGAATGAAACTGGACCACTTTCTTCCACCATACACAAAAATAAACTCAAATTTGATTAAGGATCTAAATGTGAGACATGGAATCATAAAAATCCTAGAAGAGAGCACGAGCAATAATTTCTCTGACATTGGTTGTAGCAACACCCTTCTAGATATGTCTCCTGAGGCAAGGGAAACAAAAACAAAAATAAAGGATTGGGACTGCATCAAAATAAAAAGCTTCTGCTCAGCAAAGGAAACAGTCAATAAAACTAAAAGACAACCTACTGAATCAGAGAAAATATTTGCAAATGACATATCTGATAAAGGGTTAGTATCCAAAATATATAAAGAACTTATACAACTTAACACCCCAAGAAACAAATAATCCAATTAAAAAATGGGCAGAAGACATGAACAGATACTTCTCTGAAGAAGACCTACAGATGGTCAACAGACACACGAAAAGATGCTCAACATCACTCATCATCAGGGAAATGCAAATCATAACTACGAGTTATCACCTCACACAGGTCAGAATGGCTAAAATCAAAACCACAAGAAACAACAGGTGTTGGCGAGGATGTGGAGAAAAAGGAACCCTCGTGCGCTGTTGGTGGGAATACAAACTGGTGCAGCCACTCTGGAAAACAGTATGGAGGTTCCTCAAAAAATTAAAAATAGAACTACCCTATAATATAGTAGTTGCACTCCTGGGTATTTCCTCCCCAAATACAAAAACACTCATTCAAAGGGATCCGTGCACCCCTATGTTTATGGCAGCATTATTTACAATAGCTACATTATGGAAGCAGCCCAAATACCCATCAACAGACGAATGGATAAAGATGTGGTATATATATATATACAATGGAATATTCTTCAGCCATAACAAGAATGAAATCTTGCCACTTGTAACAACATGGATGGAGCCAGAGAGTGTAATGCTAAGTGAAATAAGTCAGTCAGAGAAGGACAAATACCATGGGATTTCACTCATATGTGGAATCTAAGAAACAAATGAGCAAAGGAAAAGAGAGAGAGAAGTCAAGAAACAGACTCTTAACTATAGAGAACGAACTGATGGTTACCAGCGGGGAGGTGGGTGGAGGGCTGGGTGGACTACGTGATGGAGACTAAGAGAGGACACTTATCATGATCAGCACTGAGTCATGTATAGACTTGTTGAATCACTATATTGTACACCTGAAACTCATATAACCCTGTATGGTTAACTATACTGGAATTAAAAGAAAAAAACGTAGTAAAAAATAAAAGTAATCATTTGTATTACAAAAAAAAAAATGTTTTTCTAAACATCGAAGACCATTTTAAAACAATGTATTTTTTTAAAGATTGTATTTATTTATTTGACAGAGAGAGACACAGCGAGAGAGGGAACACAAGCAGGGGGAGTGGGAGAGGGACAAGCAGGCTCCCTGCTGAGCTGGGAGCTCAATCCCAGGTCCCCGGGATCATGACCTGAGCCGAAGGCAGAAGCTTAACGACTGAGCCACCCAGGCATCTTAAACAATATTTTTAACACTGTATTTGAATGTTTTGACCACTACATTTTCCCTCTGAAACTTGCACAAAGATGCTGCTACTGTGTTTATCTAAATGACCTCCTTTGTCAGGTTAGGAGGGCAGTCGTTATTTATCCCTCTTTTGTCAATGAGGAAACTGAGGCCCGGAGGGTTGAAGTTACCTTCCTCCCGGCAGGAGGCCTCCCAGCGAGCAAGGGGCAGAGCCGTGAGCACTTCCCAACCAGGAACTGGCCCTGTGGTCTATCCAGCTACCACAGGTTGAAGAAATAGCCCAAGAGGAACCACAGAAATTACCCTCTAAAAACCAAAGCAGCTCAGCACATGTCAGGATTATTAAAGCAGTTGGAGATATGGTCTCACTTTGGAAATGACAAATCACACACGCAGGTTATTTGGCGAAGGGGCAAACACTGAGCCGTGAATAGCTGCATTCACCATGCATACTGCAGGCCACCAGCCTTGCGACGGGGACCCAGAGCAATGGCACTTGGGGTGGGGCACCCCGCTAGCTGTCGTCTCTCCTTCCCTCCCTCGCTGCTCATACTCTCCTCACCTAAGGGGAAGTGCAGAATGTTCTGGAAGGCAGGAGCCCCCCACTCAGAAAGCGGGAAGCTAAGGTACTGTTGGCCATACTTCAAGAAGGAGGAAGGTATTCATCAGCTTGCAGTGCCTCCTGGCCCCCCAATCAGGTGCCCTCCCCACCTCTACCTTTTTGAAGTCATCTCTTCTAAAGGGCACATCCTAACGGGTCTGAGTCTGGATTTGTGTATGCGCTGCTCTCTGGGGGAGGAGAACAAGGTGCTCCTTGTGAAGAGCAAGTTCAGTTTGTGCAAAGTGGAAAGATTTCAAAACAGTCCAGGGGAGAGGAGGCGGGGGATCCAAGTTAAGCCTAGCCATTGAAGCCCCATGGCTTGACTTCTGCTAGCTCCTTCTGGTCTTAGCATGATTTTGAGTCATGAGTTTCTAATGTTCCAGGCTATGGAGCGCCCTGCGAAGCTCTCTGACCCACCACAAGTGAGTCCTGGGGAGTTGGGCTCCAGGGCGGTTGGGCTCCAGTTCAGATTATCTCCCTGGGGATGACTTGTAGATATGATGGAGATAACACAGTCACCATCAGATGAGAAATAAATTCCACACATGCGCCACTTACATCTGAAAGGCCCCAACTGCTGGAGGCCAGACGATTTAACCTATCGGTAAGGAAGGGATTTCTGGAATTTTCTGTGAGCCTTCCAGGCCTCCTGCACCTCCTCCCTCTCACTAGGTCAAAGAATGGAAAAAGGAGATGCTCACTTGGGATAGAACAGCTTGTGAGGGGAAAATCAGCACATGAGTGAGGTTTTTGTAATATTTAATCTAAGGGTAAGAGTTTCGATAATTATAATTTTGTAGGAGGAAACGATGTTCTTGCTCTAAATATTTATATCACATACCTCAGGATCCTGGAGAAGGTTCTGATTTGCACGTTGTAATGGCTGGATGGATGCTTGGAAGGACTAGAGAGAGAATTTGGGCACAGGGGCCGGAGTGGGGGAGGCGCGGAACTGGGCTGGAGAAGTCACTCCTTCGAGCCTGAGACTCTGTGAAAGCTGGAGGTGCCAATTCATTTTGATAAGGGAACTGTAGTTTTTAAAGTACAAGATTATAGAGATGGGAGAACAAATTAATGGTTGCCAGAGGTTAGGGATGGTGGTGGAGGGCAGGGTGGGTGTGACTACAGAGGGATACACCAGGGAGATCTTTGTGGTGACGGAATAGTTTTTTATCTTGATTGTGGTGGTGGTCACACAAACCTATACATGTAATAAAAAATACAACTATACACACACATCGTACCTATGTCAATTTTCTGGGCTTTATATGGTACTACAATTATGTGTGATATAATCAGTGCGGGACATTGGGTGAAGGGCAACTTCCTGTGAATCTATCCTTATTTCAAAATAAAAAGTCTCAAAGATCCGAGCACAATTATGCATTTCTTTTATTTTTTATTTCTTTTTATTTTTTGAAAAGACTTTTAAAAAAATTTATTTGTCAGGGAGAGATAACAAGTAGAGAGAGTGGCAGGCAGAGGGAGAAGCAGGCTTCCCCCCACCCCACCGCCCCGAGCAAGGAGCCCGATGCAGGACTCGATCCCAGGACCCCGGGATCGTGACCTGAGCTGAAGGCAGACGCTTAACGACTGAGCCACCCAGGTGCCCCTCTGCATTTCTTTTAAGGGACCTACAAAACCTTTCATTTATCCCATTTTTCTTTTGAGAGAACCCTACCCCCACCTCCCCACCCCCAAACACCATAACTGTTGAGAATTAGAACCACAAACTTAAGAAGAAACTTTTCCTTTTCTTCACTGGGGGGAAAAGAAGAGAATGAACGTGCCCTTCTTTTATTTTACTCTACAAATCTGATGTGTCAGACGGAGGCTATTTGATTGGTAATGCCTTGAGCAGACTGGGAAGATTCTATATCTGACTAGGCCAGCTCTTCTCCCTGCCATGGAAAAAAAAAGCAGAAACACGTTAAATTCCTTTCATGCCTTCTACATGAACAGAAGCATAAGGGTAGGAAAGGAGGGAGAGGGCAGGCCAGGGGGATGTGGGGTCTTGTGGTTCTTGAAAGAGAGGCTCCTCTCAGCTCAAAGGGAGCTGTGCTTCTGGGTTGAGAAACTGCCCCAGGAGGTCAGGCACTTGGAAGATAAACGGCTCAGCTAGCCTCAGAGAGGGCCAGTTTGAGCTGAAGGGAGAAATGTGACCCAGCTTCTCCTCCCCACCTTCCCAAATACAGCAGAAAAGGAGATGGACCGAGCCTGGGCCCTTCAGTGGGAACAGGTGGTTGTAATGGGCAGGTTCTACAGGAATTTGGCGTGGGGGCACTTGCCACAGGCTGTCAGTTTCCTGACACACTCTATCTCCCAGAGGCCCCATCTTGGCCTTCTTAGATTCCACCCATCTCACTGAACCTTCTTGAGTGCATCTCATCTGGCCCATTCAACCAAATACTTGACTATAAGCTGTCTCATCTTATTCTCTTATGGTGAGTCCCAGGCCTGCTGGGTTCAAATCCTAGTTCTACCACTTACTAGCGATGTGATCTTGGGCAAGTCGTCTTAACCTCTCTGCTCCTCAGTTTGCTCATCTGTTAAATAGGGGTCATACCTGCCTTACAGGGTTTGTCCAGTGACTGGCACCTAATAGGTGCTTAGCAAGTGTCAACTTCTCTTTGCTCACTGTTTCCCATGTGGATGCCACATGGTTCACTAGACTGGAAGCTCCTTGAGAGAGCTTCCTTCTCTTCTCCCCCCCACCCACCCCAGCACCTAGCATATGGTTGGGCACACAGCACACTGTTAATGAGTCCTTGTTGGCTAGGCTGAATGGGCCTTTCCTGGGTACCTCACTGATGCTGATGGAGACCCAGAAATGGGTGTAAGGGAATATCAATATTCTCTTTCTTTTTTTTTAAAGACTCCCCGCTGAGTAGGGAGCCCAATGTGGGGCTCGATCCGAGGACCCTGGGATCATGACCTGAGCCAAAGGCAGACGCTTAACCGACTGAGCCACCCAGGTGCCCCAATATTCTGTTTCAAAGATATGAAAGTAACATGCTGAATTATTTACTTCCTTGATACACTGTTACAGTAAAACAGTCCATGTGCTAAGGCCTGCCTTTAGTGCAAATATAATTTTATAATCTATATTTTAAAATATAAAATTTAAAAAATAATTTTTAGACAGTTACATAGCTCGAGTAAAATTAAAGCCAATGCCTAAGTATCTTGACAAAATGGCATCTTGATCAGTTTATCAGAAGTGGAGCAGGCAAAGAAATCAACTAGACTGACATGTTCATTACCACAGAATTCAGAAGGTTATTAAAGATAGCAAAAGAATTTAATAGCAAATTGCTATTAAAGATAGCAAAAGAAGTGACCCTTCTATACTCCATTGTCTTGGGACCACACCTCAGTCTGCAGTCATTTGTGAGGGACAGTGGAAAGAGGAATGGATCAGAAAATGAAGACCAGAGATACCGTTTCAAATTTAGTCATTCATTCACTCATTCAGGCAACAAATATTTACTGACTGCCTGCCACGGGGCGAGGCTCTATGCTTCATAGACACGAAACTGCCCTGTGTGAAATTTACTGTCAGTCACTTCATCTCTCTGGGTCTCATGCTCCCCAGCTGTCAAATGGTAACGAATCTATTTCTATGGCAATTATGAGAATTCTAGAAAGGAGTGCAGGGGCCAGAGCCTTGCAGACTGTTATTGTTCTCTACTGTTGTCCTCTATGTAATGGTCATGTGACTAGCTTGCGCTCATTTGAAAATTATGTCCAAACTCTATTTCAAGGGGGCTGAGGATGTTCTGCCTATCTCATTTTCCTTCCTTACATGTTGGCAAGCCAACCAAGATCAGAGTGAGCAGGAGGGACAGAGAGCTCTATGATACTAGGCTGAAGCGTTATAGTGAATAGCACTCCACTTCCTGTTCTCAAATGGGTTGGATTTTCAGACATGGTCCTTGTGATGGGTTGAATCAGGTCCCCCTCCAAAAAGATATGTTGAAGCCCTAACCCTGGGTACTTGTGAATGTGACCTTATGGAAATAGGGTCTTTGCAGATGTAATCAAGATGAGGTCATTAGGGTGGGCTGTAATCCAATATGACTGATGTCCTTATAAGAAGAGGGAAATGTGAACAGACACAGACACAGAGAGAATGTCATGTGAAGACACACACAGACACAGAGGGAAGACAGCTAGAGGAAGATGGAGACCGAGACTGAAGCCATGCAGCTACAAGCCAGGAAACACCTGGGGCTACCAGAAGCTGGAAGAGGCAAGGAAGGATCCTACCCTAGAGGCTTTGGAGGGAGCATGCCCCTGCCACACCTTGATTTCAAACTCTAGCTTCTGGAACTGTGAGAGAATGAATTTCTAGTGTGTTAAGCCACCCTGTTGGTGGTAATTTGTTATGGATGCCCTAGGAAACAAATACAGTCCCCAAACAAAAATAGCTCCCCTGTGGACTTCCCTCTGCCCTCCATGTAGTCATGGTGACTTTCCTTTTCTGTCAGGAACCCACGTGAAAATGATGCCTTGATCCCAGTGCCTAAAAATGTGGGTCTCCAGAATGGCAGAAGAGGTTGGGTGGAATCCTGAGTTCTGTTTTATGTTTTTCAAATAAGTCAAAATGGAAGGCAAGATGCCCTCCCCCCACCTTTACCTTCTCTGCCCCCAAGTTTGATGGAAAGTAGTAAGAGTAGGCAGGCATGGGTCCTATAGGCATGGGGCCGACTAAGCAAGTGGCTGCTGTGGGCCCTCAGCATGGAGACCATCTTGGGAAGGCCATGGAGTTCATTTTGGGTCCTGCTAAAGGCCAGCGGGGCTTGGAGGAGAACTGACCTCATTTAAGGTTTCCAAGCCCTGCCAGCTTGTCTGCACCTAGACTTCACTCTTGCAGCCAACCAGAGGCTGCTATGCTAGCAAAGGAGGACAAATGAGCAATTCATTTAATCAATGCATAGATGTTATTTTGAAAATTACTATTTGGCAGCCACCACAGTAAGAACTGATTCAGGCAAGAGTCATCAATGGATCCTAAAGCTAGAGAGTGCAAGTTTTATGAGAAACATGTTATTTAATGTAGTCTCAAAGTATCTCCTCATGCATTAGTTATTAAGTACGAAAAGAAAAGTCGTATTATCTTTTTCTTTTTAAGAGAGGGAGGGGGGTGGAGGAGCAGAGGGAGAGAGAGAATCAAGCAGATTCCACGCCTAGCACGGAGCCCCATGCGGGGCTTGATCTCAAGACCCTGAGATCATGACCTGAGCCAAAATCAAGAGTTGGACTCTTAACCGACTGAGCCACCCAGGCGCCCCATGAAAAATCGTATCTTTATGGTGGAAAAACATGGTAGGCATTTAACCAATTAATCAAAGTTAACATCATCAACAATCATCATATGCCTTTTTATGTTTTACTCATGCCAGAAATGTATAACCTCTCAACATGAGGACACATCAGACAAACCCCAACTGGGGAACATTCTACAAAGTAACTGGCCTGTACTCTTCTAAAAGGTTGATGTCGTGAAAGACAAAGAAAGGCTGGGGGCTGCTCCAGATTGAAGGACACTTGAGAGAATCAAGAGACAGGACAACTAAATACAATGTGTGATCCTAGACTGCATCATGGACCAGAAAAAGAAATAGCTATGAAGGACATTCTTGGGACAATTAGCACAACTGGAATATGACCTGTAGATTATATAATAGTATGGTATATCAGTGTCCTATTTCTTGAATTTGCCAACTTTACTGTGTTTATCTAACAGAATGTCCTTGTTCTTAGGAAATACATATTGAAGTATTGGGGGCAAAGGAATATGATGTCTGCAACTCACTCTCAAGTGCTTCACACACAAAAATGTGTGTGTGTGTGTGTGTGTGTGGAGAGAGAGGATGGTCAATATAACAAGATGCTAACCACAGATGAATCTTGATAAAGGGCATGTGAAAGTTCTTTTTACTATTTTTGCATACGATTTTCTGGACCTTGAAAGTATTTCAAATTAAAATTGTAAACAAGGATTATTTTGAGCATTTAACCATGTGACTGATGCTGTGCTCAGTGTGAGATATTCAAGGGAGCATAAGACACGGTCTTGATCCTTAACCCGGGAGCTCATAGTCCAGGATGGACAGGACAAAAAAAGAGGCCAGCACATTTCGGTGTGATAAAGGAAGCTGCGAGAGCACAGGGAAGGTACGCTAAACCCGGGCTGCCTGGGGAAGGGGGCCGGAGGAGGCTGTTTGCCGAGGAGGTAAAGGGGAGGCTTCAAGTTGGGGGAACTCATTCAGTTTGGGGTGCTGGTGGGCTATGCAAGCAGGGCTGGCTGACAGACTGTGGGACACAGGGAAGATGCCCCGGCCTGTAGGCAGCAAGGGGAAGCCATCTGCCCCCCCGAGGACAGACAACAAGGCACGGATTAGCAGGTGTTGGGGGCCAGGCCAAAGTCACCATAGCTTCTGAGGTGGCAGGAGAAGCGCAGACATAAGCAAAACAACTTAAGGCTGAAAAGCTGAACACAAGTGTGGTTACCGATGGCACTGGATGAACCTGGCGGGGCTGTATACTGAATGTCCTGGAGACATCAGCCCCCAGAGTGGTAACTATACGTAACCTGGATAAGGGCATGGCCCCAAATTAGTTAGGATGGCTAATAATAGACTTCGGGGCAGGAAGAGAACGTCAAGTGATCATAAGAAACTAAAGAAGTGATTTTTTCTGAGAACACGATGAGCTTCACCAGCAATAAGGATAAGGTGGTACCCAATTAACACACAACAGGGTGGGGAGAGGTTGCTGTTAGCAGGAAAAGTCCTGAGAATAGTACCGGGTCCTAGAATAAAGGGAATCAGGAGGCAGTACCGCTGTTTCAGAGGGTGATGGGGGATCGGGAATTTCCGCTCAATTACAGGATACA